ATTCTAATCAAATCTTAGATTAGAAACCAAAATTTCTAAGACTTCATTCTAGTTAATTATTCTAACTTTAATAAATAATTTTGGGGAAACTTAAGAATAGTTCTGAAGCGGTTCTGCTGGTTTGGAGGGGATGAGAATTTGTGGGAAATTTGGGGAGTTTTGGAGAAATTTTCGAGGTTATAGCGAGAATACCGATTTTCTGATGCACTTATCCCGAAACCTTTATATTTGAGCTACCACAAAAGCTCCATGTATTTCCTCAAATTACCCAAAGTAGTCCCTAAATGTGCGTTGGTGGCACAGCTATTAGGACGCTCACTGACCATGAACATGGTCTGGGGTTCGACTCCCGGCCACCGATGCACTCATTTACCTCGCTAAACCAGAAATAATGCTGGTAAAGAGCAAAGGCTGGTAATGAGGTGAGTAACCCCATCCTGTGAAAATAATCACCACTACTACCGAAACTTCAAGCCTCTAGCTTGAAGCCACTTATATTCCACTGGGAACGTGAAGGAATAAATAAGTCCAAATATGTACACTGAAAAGTCACTGGCATAGCATCGAGTAGCGTTATTTATTTTATTTATTTATTATTTTTTATTTGTTTTTATTTTTTATTTTTATTACTGATGACACTAGATAACAGTTGCATGTAATCTCATTTCATTCTATAGTTAAAGCTTCACTTATCACCATCTTTCTCCAGACTCTTTTGTATTACATTTCAGGAATGTCATTTTGTCTCATCTTAGAGTATGGTTGTGTGGAAGTGAATACAGTGCTAAAGTTGAGCTTTTCTCAAGAGTTCTTATCTCAATACTATTAGGATACAATTGGTGGATGGTGACTAGCAGTGGAATCCAGGATGCGCATTTCGTCCTATTTGGGACTCCTCATCTGGATATACCTGCACTTCTCAGTGAGTGATGATGTTCCCACCGAGGCTCGAACCCAGTACCCATAGTTTCGAACGCCAAAGCGTTATCCACTAGACCACTTGGGCTACGAGAGCCACCTCTTGTGCAACGGGTCATATTAATTATTGAATTGGATTTTTTGATTTTCCCGTCGCAAGAAGCCGACATGTCAACCTGAGACCGAGCACTTCGGTGCAATCAATCGACGGGAAAATCAAAAAATCCAATTCAATAATTAATATTATTAGTGATTCTGGTTTACTACACACACACATAAACACATACACAATAGAGAACCAATTACCACCCCACATCTACTTGTCTGTAGAGTTCACCATCAAATTTGCAATTCAAATTCATGGTACAATTAAGTAACAGTTCTTTAAAAATTTTTAACTGGGATCTCAGTATTTACCGACTTGTCATTTATTCGTTCGCAGATGTAATTAACCGTTTCACAACCAGAGGTGCATTCTTGAATGAGAGGATGTTACGTCTGAAGATATCAAAGTTTTATCTTTATTGTTAATTCCCCCCCCCTATGAATTCCACAAGACTGGTCTTGATTCAGGAAGTGGAAAACGCAACATCTAGGCTATTCAGCTCTTATCGCATCTGTCAATTCAACTGTTCCTCTGTAGCCAGTTATATCGGCTATTGCACACTGGGAACTTAATTTTTCATGTTTGGGAACACCATCTACCAGTGTGACTATACACAGGTGTAGTTAAAACTATCATTTGCAGTTCTGCATTAATTAGATCACCTCGTCCAAACAGACCACCAAGCTGGCAGTATTGAAAAGTCTTTCTCAGTCACCTATTGGGTACCAAGTAAATTGCCAAAAGCCTGTACATACTAAACACTCCATATACCAATTCAAGTCAACTGGAGAGCTGTGTTTGGAAGAAACAAGTCCAGTCACTTTTCCTACTCTGGCTTGCTGTGGGCAAGTATAAATTCATAAGAAACTGTATTATCTTCCTTAATTCATCTGATATACAGTTTAATTTTTTTAAAAATTCCTTTACGTCCCCAATGAGACATAGGGCTTCAAGCTAGAGGCTTGAAGTTTTAGTAGCATTGGTGTTTATTTTTTACGGGATGGGGTTGCTAGCCTCATTCCCAATCTTCCGTCTTTACCACTCTTGTCACTGGCTTAGTGAGACAAAGGAGTGCGTCGGTGGCCAGGGATCGAACCATGGACCACATGAGGTGTGGTCAGCTAGCACTCTACCACTGTGCCACCGATGCACCACGCAGTTTGGTGATACACTTTTACACATATTATGACACACAGATACCTTCAAACTGTAGTCTGTTCATATTATTGATTCAATGTATTCTAAAACATTACTGTTGTTAATAACAATAATTCTCTGAGTGTCACGAACATATTGCTTCACGATTTAATGAAGAGGAAGTTATCGAAAGTAAATATTCTTTGTTCCCTACATATCATTCTTTAAAAATCTACCATGAGAATCTTTATTTTTTTATTTTATTTTGATTATAGCTTGATTCCACACCGTATTTTTGGTAAAAGAATGGATGGAATTTTAAGCATGTGATATCGGCAGCCCAAATTTTGCAAGCCAACTATTGATATCAGGTATTCGTTGACGGGGATCGACCCCAGACCATGTGCATGGTTGGGGAGATTCCTAACTGGTGCGTGGAACTACCTACCACCACAGTGTTCAAGTCCTACACACACGCATATCCTAACGAGGGTCCCACTATATTCTTTGGCTGCTTAAGTGATGTCGGTACGTGTCGACATCTATCCAGAAACCGATATAAGGATGTAATTTAGACACTGTGATAAAGTATAATTCCACGGTAGGATAATTTCATTTGATAAAACAGTGATAGAGTATTATTTACTTGATATTCCTTTTATATGATTGTCACTTATTATTTTCCATATCTCTGGTTTGTTGGCGTTATGTCATTCCTGTTGTGTGTGTCTGGCGTAGATTCTAAGAACAAAGATAAAAGTCCACAAATAGTAGTGAATTTACTGACCATAACATAAATAAGAAGGGATTTAAGATACTCACAGTGTCGTTATATAAGGAATCGACATCTGAAACCCTATGTGGAATTCTTAATAAGGCAGGAATTTGGGGTGACATTTTAACCTACAAACGCTTTTAGGTAGGAAAATTTCCGTAGGCTAAAGGACCCCTGTGACTCAAACAGGCAAAACAGCTTAACCTACGTTGCAAGGACCGCATGGTCAACTGTATAGTTGAATGAAGACAGGCTTTTTACTAACTGTGATTTGTTTGACGTTTGAGCCTTCACATCTTCCATATCTGTTAATGAATCTTTGAGGATAACCGTTGTTTTTCAACACCTTTTCAAGAATCGTAAATTCTTCCTATAATTTCTCTGCAGAGTATATTCTCCTCGCTGTATAGTAAAGAGTCTTGAATAGTACTAGTTTATAGCTATTTGAACAAAAAACTAATAAAATGTAAGTATTTTCCATTCTGTGTCAACTTTCGGTATATGATATCAGACTACTTTACGTAGAAGGTTAGATCTAGAAATCAACATGATATGGGAAGACCATGAAAAGTCAGAGGATCTGAATATGACATTAACAATTTGACATTTGCAGAAGTTTAACATAGAACCATTCAACAAGGCCTACTGACTAATTTCTGATTAAAAAGATATTCGTTCTGAAGCAGTCTGACTGAGAAGTAACTGGTATGCTTAACAAAATTCGCCTCATTTAGAATGAGGTAAGAGTCCCTTGGAGGGACACTATCTACTGAAACTGGAACCATTCACCGCCTAAATCAGTTGTCAGAGATTCTATAGTAGACTAGTAAGGTGCTGAAAGTACCTTTTCACTCATTCAAATCCCAGAAAAAAGAAGCAGGGATCCTAGAATTACTTCTGCTTAGATGCCATTATGAAACGCCCTAACACTAATAGGTTGGATTAGTGAGGAATACCGTTAATAAAAAATGTAGCAGCGTAACGTAACATATTCCCATGTGAATTACCAATGTTAATTAATAATGTTCTGAATAATTAATACACACAGTTAAACACTGTTTATATTTTATGGCCAAAATGAATATTTGTCTAAAGTAGTTCTCGGTGTCGTGTTACTTATTGATTCTCACTTATGTTCATCACTTTATCCCTAAGCAAATTGTGCATCCTACTAGTGTGTGTGTGTATATGTGTGTGGGTTTGCGTCTCTATGCGTGAATGTGTGTGTGGGCGTACTTCACTAACAAGGACAAATGCTTCAAGGTTATTTATTCTTCACCATCAAATCCCCCCTTCAAAAAAATAAAAGAAAAAGAAAATTACTTTTAAACCCATCACCCATCACTTATTGATCCAAAGATTAGTTTGTTTGCTTTCTTGGCTATAACCAATCATTCGCCAATAAGAATTACACAACATCACATTTAGGGATTATTCCCAATCAGAGATAGTTTGAATATAACCAACTCTCCTGAAAAGTGGAAATCTGTCTGCATGTGTGTGTGTGTGTGTGCGTGTGCGTGTGCGCTCGCTCGCTCGCTCGCCTGTGTGCATATGATGAGGCATATAAATATGCCATAATCACATTGTGTCCTTTTGATGTGATATTGATGATGTTGATAGGGCAGAAAGTATCACAGTTTTTTTTCTTTTCATTTCGAATTTATGTTGTAATTTCGATGAAGGTGAACTTCTGAAACTCTGTTCTTGTGGTTGTTTCGTCTTTCCTGTCTCGTCGATCGACTGACTGACTGACTAATCAGAGCTGCTTTTCGTATTTGGAAATAGAGGAAAGTGAGACTAAAAGTCTTTGCTATCCATCCATTCATCCATCCATCCGAGAGTGGAAACATTTTCACATAAAACGGAATCGAAAAAGTTTACAAATCTTTTCTATTATGAGCTTGTTTGTTTACAAAATTATCTATAAAAAATAAACAAACAAAAATTTACAAATATTTCGTAAACTTTCATATACATTACATTATATTACATACAAAATATTACTGAAGATATATATATCTACATATATTAACCTTTGATACTTTTTGAGTAATAAACACAATGCCTGGAGATGGACAACATCAAAGCGCCTATCGATATAGACATACTCGTCAAGGATGTAAGTTTTTAGATTTTCAGTAAATATGGTTTAAGCAAATAAAGTATAATTATATTTTAATAGCTTACACACACAATGATAAGTTTTGTTATTGGTAATATTTCCAGCAAAATTACTGCCCATGTTCAAACACCAACTGTTGGAATTGTTTTATTCACACACATTTATGATTTGTACTCATATATATATATATATATATATATATATATATATATATATATATATATATATATATATAGAGAGAGAGAGAGAGAGAGAGAGAGAGAGACTAAATGAGGATAATGGCCTGAAAGACAGAACATAGTTATCCGTAGAAGAAATAATAAAAAGGCGTAGAATTCTGTCTGACAACAACATATTTCACATTCGAAGGAAAAATATACCAACAAAATGAGGGAGTAGCTATAGGATCGCCTATCTCACCAATTATAGCTGACATATTCATGGATTATTGGGAGGAGAATGCCCTTAAACAAAAACCTTAAAGACAAAAACCACAATATCGATTGGAACAATGTGTGTATTCTAAAAACAAACAAGAACAAATTGAAAGAAAGACTTATAACAGAATCGATATTCATTAAAGTCACACCGGATACTTGTAACAAGGGTGACTCAGTACAACTATCAACAACTTGGAATATAATTCTTAATACAAACACTTTTTTATTTTTGATTACAGCTTGATTCCACACTGTATTTTTGGTACAAGTATGGAATTTTCAGCATGGATATCGGTAGCCCAAATTTTGAAGGCCGACCATACATATCAGGTGTGCGTCGGTGGGTGCTCGAACCCCGGACCATGTGCATGGTCGGAGAGAGTCCTAACCACTGTGCCACCGACGCACAGTGAACGTGAAATATAACTCTGAACACTTACACAAAACAAGAATGAGCAATAATAATAATAATGGACTAAACATTTGAGTACAAATCATAAATGTGTGTGAATAAAACAATTCCAACAGTTGGTGTTTGAAAACGGGCAGTAATTTTGCTGGAAATATTACCAATAACAAAACTTATCATTTTGTGTGTAAACTATTAAAATATAATTATACTTTATTTGATCTAATCCACAATGCTCAAACTTTTTACTGATATTAATGGTTTAAGCATTTTAGCTTTTTCTTTTTTTAAATATTTATTATTTTCGGTAATTTCTTAAGGTGTAGGTCACTCGGTGAATGACTTTCATTATTACTATTATTATTATTATTATCATGATTGTTCTGTTTGGTTGTGTTCTGTGAGCTTGCTGGGCTTTCGTTATCCTTCTAGATAATATTATTCAGAGCAGCCTTCAATATGAAGTCAACGAATCTGATTGGATTCTATATATGAATGATATAATTATATCTGTTGACAAACTTTATTGTTGTGATTGGTTGTGCACTTACATCTTTATTGATTGTTTTTTATTGAATTGGAATTTCAATATTTTTGTTATGTGAATTGATATCAGTTAAAGAAACATTGAAAATCAGCACTGGAGTACTGGACAGCAGTTTCCTCCTAGTTTCCGACTCACCTGCAGTGTTGCCCACTCACCTTCAGGGTTCAAATCCAGGATCTTCCAGTTACGTGGCAGTCGCATAGACCATTGAGCCATTTGGACCCGACTAAGTGCCCATGAATTCTAAAGTCTACCAATTTGGTGATTTTTGTGCGACCATAGACCTAATGTCATTGGCAAATATTTGTCCTAAATTCCCAACCCTCTGGATCTCACTGATATCCATTCGTGATCAAACTTGAACAAACAAATAAACCCCCTACAAACACACTCTTGAAAATATGCTTTAATAGTTGGTAAATTTTATCAACAGTAGTAATGTTTCTGATAATCGCTGTGCCATCTGAGTACCAGGCTTGTCGAAATTCTCTAGCAGTTATTAGTACTGTCACTCATTGTTTGAAATTTCTACATTTTCCCTATCAAACTGGTTTCGGAAGTTTGAGGAAAACAGTCAGTACCAATATAAGTAGCCCAGAGGGTGTGAAAACACACAAAATCAGCCAATCACGTTCAAGGTCACCCATCAGGAGAGATGACTAATAAACTCGTGGAGAAATCTAAAAGCTCACTTCAATGAATTGAAGTATGCGCTTAAGATGTTGTCTAGTAGGGTGGCGATGAAAGCTTCGCAAATAAACCATCCAGTTAGCTCAGAGAATATAACTACATCAAAAACCGGAATGACTATGAAGTCAACTACATAGGTAAGACCAGTGTATCAGGGATGGTCAGATTATCGAAAATAAATGAATTTGGCTAAGTGTAGAATGGTTCGCTCCGCGAATATGAGTAATTTGGGCAGAAACTCATCAACTGCAGCTCATGTAGTAGCAGACAATCATACAATAGGGTGGTATAGAGTTTTTGAAGACCGGGTGTGGCCACTAAATCGTTGTTCACCGGATTTACACCTAACACATTCAGTAGGAATGACTTAATACCACCAAAACCAGAGGCATGGAAAATATTACTACCGATAAAATCAAGAGATAAGAAATAATAGAATTATATAAAACAAAATTCGAAGGTTGTTTAAGTACCTTGATATGATTATGAACATGAAATTGTGCTCAAAACATCATCAACAAATAAAAGACACTATATCTCTGTGTGCCTTTATTGAATAAATATACTCCATGATAAATCGATACTGTTTTTACTAACCTTCGATTATTTAATGCTGCTAATAGTTTTATCACAGGAATAAATAGTAGATCAGAAGTTCTACAAGATCTCAACTTATACGTGTTAACTGAATCATAGATTTATTCTGTACGACTTAATTCTGTATGTTCTATAGTTGGTTTGTTAGTTTCGTTTTCAACGAGTTGATCACGGAGTGATATCAGTTAGAGAACCATTGAAAGCCAGCAGGGAAACCTGGACAGCTGTTTCATTCTAGTTTGAGAATCTTCGGTAGTAAGAACCCACTGCGGTTCGAACCCAGGACCTTCCGGTTACAAGACGAGCTCGTATACCATTCAGCCACCGGAAGGTTCTGGGTTCGAACCCCAGTGGCTGTGTACTGCCGATGATTCCAAAAATAGGATGAAACAGCTGCCAAGTACTCTAGTTCTCCCTGGTTTTCAATGGTTCTCTAACTGCTATCGATCCCTGATCAACTCGCTAATTCTGTATCGTTAAGTTTGTAAATTAACAGACTGTTGGATATGATAAGTGCGGAAATCATAAAAGCGGGAGGTATTCACGTTTGGATTGACTATATAAATTCACCTATAGGTGGGAAAGGTGTTAAATCTACGTTTAGTTCTGTCTCAATCTGCCATTCTTATCCACATAATGAAAATAAGACTTATGACCTGATTCTATAGCATTTCAACCTGTCGCGGTAGGTTATTTTCAAGCTGTTCTAGCCCCGTTGGGTTTCTCAGTGTTAGAATTTAAGTTATACAATGTTTATTTCTTCTGATGTAAATCCTTTAAGAAGTCTTCCCGGTATATGGTGCATGAAGATTTCAATAAATTCTCCCTCCTTCAGGCTCCACAATTTTAAACCTATTAATTTATGCTATACAATAGCCATCCAGTAAAGGTAAATTAGAATCATATCAGAAATGTGTATTGTGGAAGAAGTATAAGTAAGATGGGACGGAACAATAGTCAGCAATCAATACTAGAAAACCGGCTGTTTTTATACCGAAGAGGAAGTATGTTCATTTGCTATGTTTACCATGGTCTACAATAATGCCAACAAATCCCCCATAAACATTCGCACTTTAAATTGCTATCACAATTTTCTCTTTTCTTTTTCTTTTCCCTTGTTTCACTGACAAACGTTCACTTCTGACCTTTTACGACCTAATGACCTTTCTTATGATTTCTGTTACCTTAGGTTTAAGTAATGATTTTCTAACTTGTTATCATATTTACAACATCCTGTTCATTTCACTTCACTAAATTCACTAAATTATTTGATATTTGTTAGTAGTTCAATAGTAGTACTTTTAATTGTATATCACATCGTTGTTATTATCTCACAATCATTATAATTGTGGTTATTTTCACCCTTGAACTTATGTCTAGTCCACTCCAATTCGTTGGCTTATTTTTCCGCCGTATTCATATTGTCTCACACACCACTGATCACGCTTACACTTGAGTGATTGTCAAGTCAACTAATTATATATTTATATACCTTTTAACCTCAAGTACTCACTGATCATGCATATTCAAAACTAATTAACAAAATTCAAGTATTGATCTGTAGGGGTGTGATGGATTGGGCACAGAATTTCGTCATGAGGTGATATCGGTTAGAGAACCAATCAGACCAATACTTGAATATTATTGAGATTCTGACTAGCAATTAGCCAATTCGAGTAGGTTCTAATGATAAGTCGTAACCCCTAGGGTACAACAGGTCGGCCGTTAGGACAAATACTCGCCGCCGATGACATTGGCTAGTCGTTGCTTCATATCGTCATTTAGCAGAAGTTAGAATTCATGGGTTGACCAGTGAATCGGGTCCTAGTGGCCTAATGGTTTACGAGCTCGCCTTATAACAGGAAGATCCTGCGTTCGAGCCCTGGTGGTGGGTGCGTAGTGCTCAAGGGTCCTAAACCAGGAGGAACCAACTGTCTGGTACTTCTTGAAGGTTTTCCAATAATCCTCTAACCGATATCAGTTCATGATAAATCCTGTAACCTGACACTTGTTCTATCCTATCTAACTTATACTTCTTCCACAATATACATTTCTGATATGATTCTAATTTGCGTTTACTGATTGGCTATTGTATGGCATAAATTAATCGATTTATAATAATTGTACAGCCTGAAGAAGGAAGAATTTATTGGAAGCACAATTGTTCACTCTAACTATTTTTGTTCTGAATAAATTATGAGAATATTCAAGTTACATGACGATGTGTAATTTTGTAAATTCTGATCTTCAATTCAATAAAGATGTTCATTATGAGTTTTAAAAGACTAAATTTAGTGAACGACGAATATTCTTC